TTCTGGGAGTTGAAGTCCACAGGTCTTGAAGTGGCCAAGGTTGGACACACCTGCTGTAAATAACTAATAAATTGCTGGGGGAAGCAATTTTCCCTATATCATTCCCTATACCATTCTGGACAAAGGCAGTCTAATCTTTTCTTAAAAAGCACCCACGACTTCTGGTGGCAAGTTGTCCCACTGATTAATTGTTCTCACTGTCAGGAAATTTCTCCTCAGTTCTAAGTTGCTTCTCTCCTTGATTAGTTTCCACCCATTGCTTCTTGTCCTGTCCTTAGGTGCTTTGGAGAATAGCTTGACTCCTTTGTGGCAACCCCTGAGATATTGGAACATTGCTATCATGTCTCCCCTAGTCCTTCTTTTCTACATGGAGAAGCCTTTCTTTGTGCTTAGCAAAAAAAATATATGTCTTTAGACTTGTCAACTTCCATTCAACATAGCTTAGTTCATTTCCTATTTCCTTGTTTGTTTTCAGGCATGGATGGGAAGAAATGCAGTGTATGGATGTTCTTGCCACTTGTCTTGACGTTGTTTACCTCATCAGGCCTGTGGATTGTGTAAGTACCCTTTGCTGTAGTTTCTGGAAGGAAGTTTATTTGACCCAAAACAGGTCTGTCAAATAATAGAAGTCACAACATGTTTCCCGCAGATCTTGACTGAAAACATTCCCACCACAAGCACCATTCTATCCAAGGAACATTATTATAATCAAATCTCTTTCTTGGAATGCTTTTCTTTGAATGTGATAACTTTCTTTGAATGAGGTAAGATGGTTGCATAATACATTTGCCTGGAAGTGTTTTCAGTCAGGATCCCAGGGCTGTGCATCCCCCAGTTTGTGTCTTTATATTTTTCCAGTACTGATGCAAAATTAGCATCTCCTAAGCCTGTTGTGTATCGAGGTTGAACAATACTGCCTTGCCAATATAAGCAAAGCCATTGATAAAAGCCATGCAAACATATGCAAGAAATTAAGTCATGTCTGCAGTCCAAATGTGATGGTAATCACATGCAACAATTATGTCGCATAGTTATTATGCAACATAAGCAAATCTGGAAAACTTGTTCTGTTCTGCATTGTTTAATTTACAATTTTTACCTTATGCAATATTTTATCTGGGTACGGTTTGCCACCCTGGGAAGTATGCAAAAAGGTTAGTCAGAAGATCATAATCGCATTTTCTGTCATAAGTTGTCAGCAGATGTTATTATTGACCTATTTTCCCAAGATGACTGAATTTCGATTGTGGGGTTGCTGCAGAGATTGTAACTCTGAAAAATGGCCGTAAGTCACCTTTTGAGTGCCATTGTAAGTTTGGCCGGTCACTAAGTTAACTGTTGTAAGTCGAGGACTACCTGTAGTTACTGGGTGAACTAAAAACTAAAGAGACCCTTATGTTTAGGATGCTTCTTGGTCATTTTATTGCCTAGATGGATTTCCCGAGCCTTCTCCAAGATTTCTGTTTTGTACTTAATGAAAACACTAGAGCCTATAGCTTCTTTCTTAAATATCTAACCTGGCTCCGTGCGGCTTTGCTTCTAGCATCAGTCAGAGTTAGCCAGGCATCACTATCTGCTCAGAGCAAAGACACCTTAATAGTAAATTAGAGCTTAGTCTGTGTTTGATTGTCACAGGAAGCCATGACTTTCCTTGATAGCTCCTGGCTTTTCCCTGGGTAAATCAACGTTATGCAAGAGCATGATAAGAGTAAAAATTAATAAATCATGAAGCTGAGAAACCAGAAATATGACATATGACTTCACTACTGTACACGGTGTATGCTGTACTGTACGGGACACGGTGGCTCAGTGGCTAAGATGCTGAGCTTGTCAATCAGAAGGTCAACAGTTCAGTGGTTTGAATCCCTAGCGCCGCGGAACAGAGTGAGCTCCCATTACTTGTCCCAGCTTCTGCCAACCTAGCAGTTTGAAAGCACGTAAAAAATGCAAGTAGAAAAATAGGGACCACCTTT